GAGAAGAAGAAAATTCCAATCCGCGTGATGCCTACCACTATCTATCATACAAAACAAAAAAAAAAAAGGTACCATCTACCTCTCGAATACCACATATTCTCGTGCCAAATGCTGCTCAACAATAAGACTACCCCATATTAGAGAGTCTATCTTCCCGCACGATAGAACGCCAAACCCTTTTAGTTTAAGGACCAAGGAGAAATTATTCGTAGTATGTAGTAAAGACAGAAATTAGGGGCGGTTGCCGAGGGCCAAAAACACACTTCAAGCAAAGCCCGGAACAAAACCTGATGTGCTGGGTAGTGGATTAGTGCTGGTGGTTGTTGCCGTGATCGTGACCGTGGCCGTGGTCATGATCGTGCGCATGAGGGCTGGTAGCGCTGTGCGACGATTGACTACATCGTCTTGTTGACGAAGCCTTGGACGACGAGTCGGCAGGGCAGCATCCCTGGGCCTGGCAGTCGTCGATACACTCAAGGAGGCAACTATCACCCTTATTGATATCCACAGGACCGTCTAGGGACAGAGCAGCAGCTTCTGCTTCGTGTGAGTGCTTCTGGTCGAAGCAGAACTCGGGCTGTATCGTAGCGCTGTGAATGCCAAACCCATGAAGACACTTCCGAGCTCGGCGAGCCAGCTCCATGTACTTCTCGCCACTGTGAGAATCAATGGGGAAAGACACTTGGAGGTGCATACTAGCGACAAGTTTGGTATCTGAGAGTTGCCAGACATGAATATGGTGGCAGGTAATAACGCCGGGAAGAGCTTCGATGTCTTGTCTAATCTCAGGGACGCTGATATGCTCAGGAGTGGCTTGTAAAAGAACACGAGCGGTGCCTCGGGTGAGAGGAATGCAGGTCTTGAGGATAATAGCAGTGATGAAGAGAGAGACGGCGGGATCAGCATAGACTTTGCCAGGCCAGTCCGTCAGCCAGATAATGAGAGCCGTGACCATGACACCTATGTTGCCAAGCATGTCTCCAATGACGTGGAGAATCATGGCATTCATACCCATATCAGCGTGGTTATGGCCGTGGTTGTCCTTCTTGCCAGCTTTCTTGGGCAGAGTATGGTGGTGACCATGATGAACGCTCGAGTCCCGTCTAGGTCGTCGAGGGTGGGAATGGGAGTGGGAGCCTTTTCTATTATGACCAAGGGAAGAACCCTTCTTAGCAACGTCTTTGAGAAGGGGTGACTCCTCATGCGCCTCGTCCTCTTCCATAATCAGAGAGTTCTCGGCGTCGGTCTCGCTCTCGCTAGCGCTTTCGTTGGTCTCGCCACGCGTAGCTTCGATAATGCTTTGCCGGAAACTTGCTGGGTGAATGCTCAAGTCATCGAGACTAGCGAAACGAGCATGTCCACTCCTACTGGATCGATGATAGTCGCGGCCTCGTGTGGATGCATCTCGGCTATGTCGCTGTTCGCTGGATTTGCCGTTGGACTTCTTGGAAGCTGTTGCACGGCGGATCACGGCCTCGGGTAGAACCTCAGCAGCACGGCCACTTTCGTCTGCAAGAGTGCCCTGGGTTTGGTAACCGGCGTTGCCCTCCTCCTCGTCATGGACGTGGGCGTGAGAGTGTCCATGCTCATGATCGTGGTCGTGTTCGGCGGGTCCATGAGAGTGACCGTGGCCGCCGAGGACAAAGAAACCGACAAAGTTGGAGAACAGGCCGGCAGAACCAACAATGAGCATGAGCTTGGGGTTATTGATCTCGGGTGGTTCGATGAATCGGGTCAATGCTTCGAGGACGATGGAAACACAGAGGGCGATAAGGAAAACGGCGTTGAAAAAGGCACCAAGAATCTCTGCGCGAACCCACTAGAAGACAGTTAGACAAGCGCATCGGCGTTAAAGGGGGCGCGAAATGGTTTGTGGAAGACGTACGCCAAAGGTGAATTCGTCAGTGGAGGTCTTTTGTGCGGCGGACACAGCCCAGAGGCCGATAACCAGCGAGATGATATCATTGAGCTGCGTAGATTTAGCCGATGTTCTATCCGTTGATTCGCATGCAGCGCGAAATAGATGCGATTGACTAACCATGTGAAAAGCATCGGCCATGAGAGCCAGCGAGTGGGCAAGGAAGCCAGAGACGATCTCGACGAGGAAAAACAAAGTGTCAATAGCTATCATCACCTTGATCCTGGTACTCTTGGACCAAGCCATTTTTTGAAGAATACCCATGGCGAAGAAATGACACGAGCACCAAAAGAGGGTGCTCACTCTTGTCGTGGGAAAAGGATAATGAAAGTGAGGTTTTGTTGGTGTTGCAGATGGAGAAAAAAGAGCCCGGGAGCTGGTGGGAGGACCCAAGGTAGTGAAAAGGCCGCGGGCTGGCTGCAGGAGATTTCAGCGACTTTTAGGTTAGTTACGATGACGGAATGCGACAGTGGAGGCTGATCCCTAGACCAGGGAGGTATGAGAATGGATAGGAGCTGCAGACAGGCAAGCAAGGGCTGGTTACACAAATGTGAGAGATGTTTCTCAGGTATGTAAATCCCCGTGTCGTACAGTTAAGTACAACAGATTGTCACAGGGAAAGGAAACATCAGGTTCAAAGCAACGAGACGAAGGGGAACTCAAGTCAAAGGGCGAGCTGATTAATTTAATTGCATAGTTTGTCATTTCTTAGTGGCAATTCAATGGTTAAAACGGCACGGCATTCGACGATCGAGACTAACACAGTGACAGAGCTTTTTCGGTCGCGGGCGACGCATTGCCAGCCTACCTAGATCAGATTGGGATGCCTGTTTTCTTTTCTTTTTAGTTAGCAGCGCAATTAGCGTAGACAGTTTCTACTAAGAAAACCTTAGACAGGTGAGACAGGGCTGGCGCTATAAATCGTTAGTTAACGGCATGTCTTAGCCCACTGTCGACGGCAGCGCCCTCTGTTCAAAGCAGCCAGCCCGTGAATCAATACTCTCCAGGGACCCTAGCACCCAGGCGATTTTTGATAAAACATTACCTACCTTACTGTGTATAAGCTTAGTTCGACTAGCTACGAGCTGGGTTTTAAAACAACAGACTTCGAAGTTCAAGTCAAAGATACTCGACTCGGTTCGGGATATTCCAACAAAGTTCAATAGGAAGAGTCCGGTCAGCCGGTTCGGCAATAGACCCGTTCGCCACTGGGCCTGCCTCCGATTTCGGTAAATGGATGGCTCCATCCAATCCACTTCACTTGAGCGAATGCATCCATTTGATACGGAACAACACTTGCAAACTCGAAACATGGGAAGTTTCTGTGAATCTTTTCTTGGCACTCTATTATTATTTTGATATCTCCGACACATGTTTGGTGTTGCCGCAATTATATTGTGCAATCCGACGCTATAGTGCCATCCTAAGTTACTACCCTCCACCGATACTTGTTTTCCCACCTCTCGCAAGGAAAACAACATCGGCTCAAGCTCCCCATCTGAGCTTTGTCGTTAGATGAGCATCAATCGAATCGTTGGGCTGCGGGTTTCGATCGTCTTTACGGCAGTTCAATTATTCGAGCCCCAGTTGATATTGATCGCAAAAATCCCCGGAACAGTTACAGCTCTTCCGAGAGGCAACTGTCAAACCACATATCACATTGTGGCTACACGGTAACTGGTTAGCTGGTTCACTCGGCTGTTTTGCACATCTTTACCGTTTCGGTGTGGCTCCTTGCGTTAGATACCGCTGTCTTTAACCCAGTCATGCAGCCAGCCTCAGTCTTTCAGCTTTGCCTGGCGCATGCCAACTGTCGAAAGGGGCACACTGCACCAAAAGCCACAACGCAAGGAATACGAGCCGTGCTGCAAGGCGTGCCCTGGGACCAAGTATTTATGTATTGCGGGATCTCACGATACGGAATTCTTACATTGGATGGTAGATGAATTTTCCATCAGATGAGCTTGTTTTCTTAAGCTGATTGTACGAAGCAAAGACTCTTTAATTTTGTTTATATATGACCACCAACATGATAGGTGCGTCAATCCTACTTATTCAATGCTAAACATGGATGGTAACGAAGAATGAATGACGGAGTGCCAAATCAGTTACACCAGATTGGAATCTACCTCTTGTATACTTAGATATATACAATCGATCATCCTCTGTGTTATTTCTGCCACAAGCAATCTCACATTGCAAGACAAAAACTGTAGGGTATGGTACCTTAGTTAGACAGATCTCCATACTGTACCTGGGCTATTCATGATTCCACAGTTGGTGGAGCCGACGATGTTTATTAGCGCGTCCAACGGCCCGCACCCGCATCCGCAACCGTACCCGTCTTATAACAAGCGCCGGGCGCCTCCTCATGCGTACAGAATTTTGTTTCATCTCGTTTCTACTGTGAATACCTATATCTAACTCACTGTCCGTCTCCAAAAACATGGAAATTGAATACTAGTGGAAACAGGGAAGGCATATTTGGGAGGCCTGCCATGGCACGCCGCCTGACCACGATGTGGAACATTCCAAGGCACCCGTCTATAATTCAACACGTGCTGCGGTTTGCCGCCTATTTTCCCATGGCCACTTGGGTACTCTACGCGCCTTTCAACCCCGGATAGCGACATGGATAGACTTAACCAAGTAGGCTGGTTGGTCAACACTGTCCAGCAAAGGCAACAGTCTTGTTGATTGGGATTCGTTAATAGAGGCAGTGCTCTTGTCTGTTGGGATTTAACAACTCGTTCTTAAATGACTCGTCCAACCCATAGAAGCTGGCTGTTTTCTCATATTTGTAGCAACTGCGTATTGCTATTTATTCTTTGTTTTGACGGTTGGCTCATATCATAAGCATTCATCGTCTCATTCACGACTGAGAATGGAGGCCGCCGCAAGTATTATTGCATTTGTCCAAATATCGACCGAAATCGGGAAATGTATAATCAAGATGAAGAGATTGTGAGGTCAAGCCCAAGATCCACCTCGAGAAACGGAGTTTCTTTTGAAACATCGACAAGGCTATAAAGCTATATTTGAAATCCTGGGTCAACGATATCCGAACCAGCAAACTTTTAATATGCTGCCTGGATTTTCGTTGGTGCAAGATAACCTCCGAGATTCAATGGAGGCACTAGAGTCACTTAGGAAAAACGCAGATTATATATCCACGAAACTCGAAGCCAAGACTGGCCTGAAGCGGAAGCTAGCCGCTGTGAAGATAATCATTGGAAAGGAAAGCTCAGATGGACTCGTCACCAGATTGAAGGAGGCAATATCAATGCTGCACTTAGCCGTACAGGCCTGGGACTTGTAAGTATTGGCATGACGGGGACTAATACAGAGCTTGCTTGCTGAGTAGTAACTGATGATATTCGTCAAGGACTATCTCGATAGTGACACCTGATCTAATTGCAGCTCAGGTCACCAAAACACTCAACGACCATTTCGGAAGCTCTAAATTTGAGAAACAGCCACAGATCAAGGCCCAAATGCAAGATGAATCTCGCTGCGATGTCATAGAGATTGATGAATCTCAACTGTCACGCATCCCGAAAGACAATGCAAAGCTCAACAAGAAATATACCGCTTCTAGATTTGGCCGTTTCACCATGGCCTATGCCACCACCACTGGTGCGTGGCAGGCCTATCTTCAACTGCCAAGTTGGCTTTCATCGTCCGTATATGAACTACAATCGACTCCAACTGGCTATGGCTGGACGTACAACTATCGGGTGTACAACATCGTTTCATATGAATATGATGTTATTCAGAGAATACAAAAAGGAGATAGGGCTGGTGTTCTTGAGCTATTCGGAAACCGGAAAGCATCTCCGTTCGACAAAGATGAATATGGACACTCGCTTCTGTATGTATGGCAGCAACCTTGGACACCGCTGGAATTAATTACTCATTTGTATCACAGTGGGCTGCGACTAGCAAGAACTTCGACATGTGCCAGTTGCTACTTAGCTTAGGGCTTCATGAAGCTTTGCTTGAGAAAGTTGGCGAAACTGCCCAAGCGTAAGTTCTACATAATAGCCATGCGATAAGTTCTGACATACTCTCAGGAGTGCATTGGCACCGCCAGTGTACGATCCCGATCGACACCACTCGGAGAAAATATGGCTAAAAATTGCAGACTTATTTCAGTCATATATCGACGAGCCAGAGACAAGCATGGTTCTGCGTATGTTCGACTATCACAATTCCTGCGATTATGGAGATGAGTACGTAAGAATCTTTCAGCAAAGATTCTTGCCCAACTTCTATAATGGCCCGCTCATTCATCGCCTGGAAGCTTTCCGGCTTGGATCTTTTCACTGTCAAGATTCAACAACGCCCCCCTACCTCATCGCACGGGACCTGAAGATCACCAGCTTCGACGTTAGCGAGTCAAGTCGCACCGGGGTTTCACTCATGCACTCGGCAGCTGTGGCATTCGGTATCCGTTTCGCGGATGAAGTCCTTCCGTGGATAAGAGGTTGGGCCATGTGGACTATGTCACTCTATAATGAGGGATGGGGCCACTTGGTGCGGGAGGTTGCCTCAGTTGCCAGACAGGAAGATTTACACACAGTCGAGATAGTGCAGCCCTGGGACGTGTATCAGGTTCCAACCTGGAAAGGCACACCGCTGATCTCAGTTATTGGCGGAGCCCTTTGCTATCTGTCACCGGATGTCAGTTTCTTTCACTGGGACAATGTTTTCCAGGGACGCATCCAGAAGTGGGTTTCAATCTTGCAGGAGAGCGGAGTTGACCTGATGCTCTATGGAGAACAAGAGTCCATCAATATTAGCAAACACTTTCGCGCAGCTTTCGATTCAGACGCAATCGAGGCATCGAGGAATGAAGTACGGAACGTGCTGCCGTCTCGAGCGCGAGACTTACGCTTATTCGACCAGAGCGTTCAGGTCGCAAGATGTGGAACAGCAACCATTGGATTCCGTACCAGTTCTAAGTTGGNNAAGCCTGCCAAGGGCATCAGCAACCGATCCGACTCTTAGAACTCAAGTTTGGTCCAACCCCTAGTGAATGGGAAATAGTTTGGGTGCCAGAATTTGAGTGGATGGCAAAAGAGTTCTGGCAGATGATAGAACAAGAGGTCGTCATAATGCCTGGGTCGTGGATTGATTATTAAATAGATTGGCTACTCCTGACAGGCAATACAAGCAATACAAACAATGAGCACAATTTATGATACCGTAGTTGCGACGATACTGATAATGGTGGTTTTATTTGACAGATACGTAAGGTAGCTGTGGAATGTCAATGCTTATTGTTTGTGTCATGAAGCAACGACATGATAGAGGTCCCCGAATTCTCGTCAGTACTGTATTTGGGCATACCCCTGCGCGCCAGATGCCTCTAGAACTATGTATCAACAAACTCTCGTGTGTTGTCATCCAACCATTTTGAGGTCATACCATGATAAACAACCATAGATACCTAGGTAGGTTATGGTAACGTGAGGGCGCCTAACGTGCTGTACCCCGCTACATGAGGCGGGGCAAGAGCTAAGGTTATGACATGACATACCTACATGGATCTGTTCCTACCCAACTTACTCTTGTTTATCATCACCAGAACTGTCATTTTATTTTAAAACCCATCATTTCGAAATGACGACTATCCGACCAGCAGACAAGGCCGGCTCATGGTACGAGAAGAAACCGAAAGATTTACGTACTGAGCTGCAAAGCTACCTAACGGCAGTCCCGGAGAGTTTGGACGGAGTTCCACTGCCCATTCCGGGAGCTCGTGTTATAATCGCGCCGTGAGTTTGCCTGCTAAGCCTTTTGATATATTCTTGAGCTGACGATAATATGCCGCAGCCATGCGGGATATGCATTCTCTGGGCCGTGTGCAGCTTGGGCGTACAAGACTCTTGACTTGAGCCATGCCAAGCGTGTCATCGTCCTGGGTCCATCTCATAGATACTATCTCGAAGGATGTGCTGCCACTAACTTTGAAAAGTATGCAACACCATTTGGCGACTTGGAGATCGACCAGGAAGTGGCCAGAGAGCTCCAGGAGGTACTAGAAATGGAGAATATGCCCAAACGCCGCGAGATTGAGGAACACTCTCTCGAGATGCACATGCCATATCTTTATCTCCGCTGTCAGGAGTCATTTGACTCGCCTGAAAAATTTCCCAAGATTGTGCCTGTGCTTGTAGGCAGTAACAACGGGGATGACGAGAATGTTATAGGACGAGCTTTACTGCCATACCTCAAAGACCCGGAGAACGCCTTCATAGTCAGCTCTGATTTCTGTCATTGGGGTGGTCATTTCAGCTACCTACCCTACTCGCCCACGAAAAGTCCTTCTGATCTGACGCAGTTGAGAAAGGAAGACCCCAGACCCAATGGTCCCCCAATTCATGAGACGATTAGAGTCATAGACGAAGCAGCCATGGATGCTGTTGAGAGTGGTGTTCATGAAGCTTTTCTTGCCACTCTGCGACAAACCCGTAATTCGGTATGCGGACGACACCCTATCGGAGTCATGATGGCGGCTCTAGAGCAGCTACGCAAGCAGCCTGAGAACAAAGACAAGGGGCGATTCCGTATCCTCAAATATGACCGCAGCAACTTGGTCGATACACCGGGTGATTCTAGCGTCAGCTATGTGTCTGCATATGCTGTTCTTTGAGTATGGAATTTCAACATGTGGGCGTTTTGGTGTGGTGGTGATAGTCTTTGAAATCGGATGGAGCATCGAATGTATGTGCTGGTCTCACGATGGAAGGAGAAGGTCTACTATCATTAGGTGGCCCCGGGAAGTCAAGACATTGGGTCACCATTAACAGATGTGCAACTAAATAACATGATATTGGTAGGAACTGTGTGATCCGCAAATGATAGGAGTATTCAAAGTCATTGTTTGTTCAAAAGCAAGGTTCTCGGAATAAGCCTATGGTAGAGTCCGTCGGAATGGATTTGGGAAGCTTGTTGGTTTGTGCTGCGCAGCAAGTTTCTGCGGCTGAAATATGAGATGGATGGCTGGAAGGGTGTCAATTGTCCCGTCCCTTGAACGGCAGAGTAAGACGAAGGATACATTTGCCGGTGGAGCTGGCCAAGGGCATAAGCAACGGGAAATTACGAGGTACATATAAATATCCCGACTTATCCTCTAGTAAAAGAGTTGCTATCACTATAAGGTTGATATGCTATAGATGGATTCATTTCCGTGTTCGACTCTATACCAGTGATAGGACAAAATGAATGACGGGATGGTTCCTTAATCCGAAAATACCACGAATAGCTCCTTGGCAATGCCGCTCTAGACCCACGCGGCGAAGCTTAAGTTCGTTGTTCGAGACCCCCTGGCCCGCGGGGGGCAAGAAAACAGCGAACCTAAGTTTAGGGTGCCAAAATAAACTCATCAAAAGCTATCCTAAGCTTAGACTATATTACCTAAGTACTTTTGTCATTTAGGATCGAGGTTCTGTGTTTTCTTTCCTCCCCTAGCCTGGTCAAGGTCAATCTCGAAAGGGTGGCCGGGTGGGCGCCATTTTGCAGAGCTGAAGGCCTAGGGCGGGATCGCAGGGCTCACTCAGGTGGAGGTTGTCAGCCTACAGATGAACGGATTCAATTGCTTCACTTAGCGGATGACACCAGAGACTTTGTTTATGAATCAGAGCTTGAAGCTTTTGGTGATGATGTCGGATACTGCCGGTTGGTGCGATGGTAGTCGGAGGCAAAAGAGAGATTGGATATAAAACACCAGACTTGTTACAGAATTCTCAGTCAGACTCTGAAGAAACCAGGATTAATGGAGAGCAAGCGCCTAGGATGAAACAGTGGAGAATGCATCACCAATGAACGATGCTATTGACGGGCAGTGATTATTTCGGGATTACCCCTTGTTCAGGGGTGACAGACAAAATAAGATAGCAAGATCGATTGTGTTACTCAGCGGTAGCGTGTAGACTTGAATCTGTCTCCTGTTCTCCCTCTGAGCCAAAATCATGTTAAGCTCATTTATAGCTAGGCTGCTGCATGTCTCCGGTGTCATTCTATGATCATCCAATTGAATTAAGTGTCGCATGATTAACCAGACTCTTAAAGTGTTTCTGGCTGTTGCAGCTCTGGTTTTGAGCACCTTTATCATGGCATCGCGCACGATCCGAAGGGGCTGTTTCGAAGCTGATCATGACGATGCGAACCTTGGCACTCGGCCAAAACAACCCGAGAAACAGAGTCTCCTACGAAGCCGTCGTGCACTAGGCGTCGCAACTGGAATCAGATTTGCATCTCTTGACCCGACTATTGGACCCTGCATCGCCATCCAAGAGAGCAAAGAGAGCAAAGGGGCTTGCACAATACGGAGTAAGCATGGTGCTTGTACGGAACAGGGCTAAGCTAAGGTAATCTCTAGCCCGCTAAAGGCAGTGAGCGGCGTCCAAGCGCCAGTGCCTTAGCCTCCACCCTCACCCCCAGGCCCGCTAACATTTCAGTGGCTAAGTGCTGCTCTGCCACTGCCACTGCCGCTGCTACTCAACACTTCCACTAATCTCGTCTCGCACTTGGGCTGGGCTCGCATTCCCATTCCTGCCCTGGCTGGGGTCTTCCTTGCCATCTCCCGTCACGTCTCATTTGCACCTGGCCTTGATCCTATTTTTCTGACCTTAACTCTACACCCTCCCTCGTCTCACTCGTCTCTCTTTTTTACTTGCCGTCTTTTCCTTTTTCACCTTTTTCTATCTCGTCAGTAGTTTATCCAAGTCTCGATCATTCGTCTCTTTGATCGTATATCCACAAGCCTTACTCCTTTCTCTTTGCTGCGCGACGAGAAACACTCACTCTAACCAAACCTCTTCCTTGGCAACTCGACTCGATTCGAAAACCGACGAGACCAAAACAATTAATCAAAGACAATCCTCGAAAAACGACCAACCTCTGGCGAAAGGGGGTTAAATTCGTCGAAACCAAAACAGACAACACAACAGAGCTCCAGCTCAGTCATTACAATGAGTGTTAGTTCGCGCCTCCTATCCAATCCTCTCCGCTCCTGTTGATCCCGCTCCAATTTCGAGTGTTTCCCATGCGACATCAATTGAGCTTGTCGCATATCGCGACCTGCTATTTTCTTCGTAAATCTTTTCCATGAATAATATGCTGACATTTGTTATAGTACGGGTATGTTTTGCTCGAGTTACTGCATATAGCTTACTTGGTATGCTTACTGACTCCAACATAGATACGGTGGCCAAAATCCATACGACTCCCCTGACCAGGGCTATGGTGGTAACAATGGCTACGGCAATGGCGGTGGCTACAACAGCCCACCCGCTCAGGGTTATGGAGGTGAGAATTTTGGACTCGAATGGTTGTCCTCTTCCACCACATACTGACATGGCTTGAGGGATAGGTAGCGTTGAGATGGCCCCCCTTGCCCACAACGCCGGCGGCTTTGGCCAAGGCGACCCCAACGCCATTCTCAATGAGTGCCGCGACATCGACCGTGGAATCGACACTGTTGAACAGAACTTGGAACAGCTCCGCATGATCCAACAGCGAACTCTTGACGACGCCGATAGCTCAGGTTCCAGTGCCGCCAGCCGCCAGCTCGACTCGCTTTCCGCGGATACCATGTCTCTCTACCGCGAGCTCACCGAGCGAGTCCGCACCGTCAAGTCTAACCCCGAGGCGAAATCGCCAAAGAACAACCCTCACGTCACCCGCATTGACCGCCGTCTCAAAGCTGCCATCACCCAATACCAGCAGGTCGAGTCGCAATTCCGAAAACGCACACAGGATCAGATGGCCCGCCAGTACCGCATTGTACGCCCAGATGCCTCAGAGCAAGAGATTCAGGCTGCTGTCGAGGACACCACTGGAGGGCAGGTCTTCAGCCAGGCCATGATGCAGAGCGATCGTCAGGGTCGTGCCCGTGCTGCCCTGAGCGCTGTTCAAGACCGTCATAAGGCTCTCATCAAAATCGAGCAGCAGATGGTTGAGCTGGCTCAGTTGTTTCAGGATATGGACACCCTCGTCGTTCAGCAAGAAGCTGCCGTCACCCAAATTGAACAGAAGGGCGAGGAAGTCGTTGAGAACCTCGACAAGGGTAACGAGGAGATTGGTGTGGCCGTCAACACTGCCCGCAAGACACGCAAGAAGAAGTGGATCTGCTTGGGTATCTGTGGTATGTATTCGCAAATCCAACCTGATGTGAGGCTCTCGCTAACTCGTCCAGTTGCTATCATTGTTGTCATTGTCATTATTGTTCTCATCTACATCTTCGTCATCAAGGGACAGAACAACGACAACAAGAAGCGAAGTATCGAGGCAGCCATTGGCAGCTTGCCTGTTATGCACACAGCTGTCCTACCTGCTCGCTTAGCCCGTCGTGTTGCTGCCGACAACACAGTATCTCTGCTCAACAGTGTTGGTGGAGGGCGATTCCATCTACCTCAGCTACCACGGAACTAGGTAGAAGTCGAACGATGAGAGAATGACGACGAGGCGATACTTGGACTCATTGAGGGACATGTACGCATTCTAGAGAGGTGAGCCAGGATCGTGTGGAGGTAAAAGCAGTGTCAGAGCTGTATTTGTGTTTTTGCGTATTCCCATTGGATTTGGAACATAACTGTTGCTATAGCCCGATAGCCCGTCTTTTTTTCTTTATGTTTTACAACCGGGGTTGACTCTGCCACTCTTCTGGCGCTTGATTTCCTTTTCTCTTTGCATTAGTTCGAGGCGTTTATAGTATGAACTTTTAATTACATTTCGCTTCCTCGCTTGTGTTGATGCATCGTCATGTTTTGACTCTGATCAAATATACGATCACTAATTAACAATCTAACACGCTCGATATCCATACGTATCAGGCAAGCCCTATACGCCAAGTTGTAATCACTCATATTCAAAGGTGTCTGGTCTACCTGAAACTGTGATGACCATATTCCTACCAGGTCATCTGTATATATTGTTGATGCCGAAGTTCAAAAGTTTTAATCTTGTAGAATCACAATCTGTAGATGCGTTAGCATGGTGGAAACATTGACAGTATACAACTTACCACTATTAATGGCACGTTTCGGTCTTTACCGATACATAATCTCAAAATCATCAGAGCAAACGGAACTTCTCGAGTGAGTTCCTATCAATCATTCTCTGCCTTCGCTTTCGCCTTCCCCTTGTCATCATCGTAGTCTACCACCGCTTCATCAGGTGCACCATCATAGTCTTCTGCATCGTGAATGTCTTCATCCTGTCCCATTACCAAACGCCTCTTTTCAGCCTCATCAACCACCTTCTTTAGCACTCCCATACGTCTGCGGAACTCTTCCGCTAAAACATCGACGTCCTCCCCTCCTATGGCGCCACTGCCCGAGCTAGGTAGGGACTCAGGTCGCATTTCGACGGGCTCGCGCTCGATGCCCTCAACACGGAGCATTAAAGCGCCAGCACCTCCGTTCTCTTCACCCTCGCTCTGCTGGACAGCTACGCTTGAGTTTGTCACGGCGAAATCGGGCGTTAGACTGGCGGCCCACGATACAGCCCAGCGGTTGGACTCGCCTTCGGGAGCTGGCGCGAGATCTACGACAAGAGGTCGGTGCGACGGGTCTTGAGCAACAGCTGCAAGGATCGAAGGGTCGTCATCGGAGAAGACGTAGTGGACGCGAGGATGCACAGTAGTATTTGTAGTTGAGTTGGTCAGGAGAGTGAACAATGGCTCGAAAGGGGGCATCGTGCTCTCAATAGCTTCATTCTCTTCGTCTGGTGTTTGATTATGGGAAAACTCCAGATCCGGGCCTTGGACAGAAGACTCCGTCGCAGCCTCCGGGGGAGACGGAACCCTATCGGTTCCAGACATCTTGGTAGGATGTTTGTATTGTTGGACTTCTGTAGTGATGAGCAGACGATGTCCAGTCCCGGGGCATCTTTATTCGGCGATGATTTGTCTTTTTACTCTGTTTGTTTGTGTTAAGCTGCCGAGCTCTGTAGGCTGTAGAGCCGTGGGATGACGGAAGGACCTCTTTATCTTATCGCCACGTGGGTACTATCTAATGCACGTCTAACCAGAAGCAACTAGGTAGGTACCTACAATACTTGGGTCGCAACTCTCTTACCGACTTAACCAGGCCTGGTATCAATTGAAATGATTTGATATAGTGATAGCTCTAGGTAATCGTGAATCGCATAGCTAGTGATGATTTTTAAGTGCAAGTAGATCAAGTTTGGTCATTTTTGTGATTTACATTGCTCCCTGTAGGGGTACATAGCCCATCGTGACTCGACATGTGACTGATTTCAAAGAGACTCAGGTTCTGTCCGCCGGAATAAGCTCTCAGCCACAAGTCTCAACTGCAAATAACACATCTAGCTCGCAACTTAGACATTATTAATACCATAATGACTAACCATTTGCTGCAGCATAAAGCTGATGAGAGGAAAACCTAGATGATGACTCTTTGGCCGGCCTTGGAGGCGTATAAGATGCTCCAATCCCTCGGCCAGACTTCTAGGAGACAAATTCAACCTCGAAACGCCACCTCAGTTTGGAATGTCACACCGAAAGTACGCCCTCTGACTCAAGAATCTCCTGCGGATCACTGAAGAGTTATATTGCCAGCATCTATGTCAATGCACTCTGACGTACATCGCTAGCCTCATGGCGCCTCGTTCTTGTCGCCCAAACGGTCACTTTGGAGCCTGAATTCACCGTTGATGTTACAAACACATGCCCTACCGCCTTTGATCCTTTGCATCCTTGAATCAGCTCGGTGCTTGGGCGACTATGGATAGAAAAAGAGGGCCACCGTGTGTCTTGTATCACTATGTAAGGTGATAAGAGGTCAAATGAACTAGGCAATGAGTCATTAAAGTTAGCTTAGGTTTGACGGAAGTCAGGCATCCAGTGCCTTTGTTCCCTGCCCCCAAAAACGCCGTTCCCGTCTATTGTCTATATATATATTCTCCCGATGGCATATTCTTGCCTCTATTTTTGACTCTTTCCAGCAGAATCCCCGGTTTCCTTGCATACCTTCGTAATGTAAACGCTTTTCCATAAATCCAAGGTAGAAAATTGAATCGAATATGATCAAATAACGCCGTTATATGCCCGTCTATCGAAAAATAAAAGCCGTATCACTCCCATATATGCAAAATGCAGGATGTGGTCGAAGGAGCGGTAAAGACTTCAGGACGAATGAAGAGCGCGAAAGCCAGCCGCAACCAAGCTCCTAGACTTGTCCTTGGAATCAGCAGGACCGTTCCAGTAAAAGAGACCCTGCGGAGACATTGTCAGCAATCCAGTGACGAAATTGGACAGGAAGTGGGAGTCGCGGTGTTCTTATGTTCAAGACATGAATGCACAACACCGAGGCCTTCGCACCCATAGTTAGGCTACTCACTCCCAGTCCCTTTTGCTTGCAGAAACCAGCCTTGATCTTAACAGTATCCGGGTTGTCGTACGTCACAAATCCGCCATCTGCCCCGGTGCAGTGTGCTGCAACATGGCGTTTGTCGACAACCTCTTTGCATCCCTTGCGTGGTAGTTGATTGTACTCAAATGTGCCATCTTCCGCACCACCCACGCCCTTGTATTTGTGTCCCACTCCTGTGCAGTGAAGGAAGCTTCGTCCAAAAGTTGGAATACCAAGCAGAATCTTCTTAGGGGGAAACCCCTTGGACATGAGATAAGAAACCCCTGAAGAAGCTGAGGTTTCTTCTTTGTCCATAGCATATAGTTGAGCATGATGTCCAGCCTTTGGAGTCCACGAACCAAAGAAATCGTAGGCCATCAAGTTGATAAAGTCCAAGTATTCGGCGATCTCCATTAGATCAAGGAACTGTAAGATGGACTTGGCTGCAGGAAGTGCAGCGGTGAGTACATAATGCTCCTCTGGTAGATGAATGCGGGCAGCTGCTAGAAGTGCAAGAAAGTCGTAGCCTTGTTGGACATCGCACGGGTATTCCCATGCAACTTGATACCATTTTGTTAGCTTCGCCGTCAGAACTGGAGATCCGTTCCAAGCGCTACGTACTGTCGATTCCATCCAGACCTGATGCCTCAACAAGCCCTTTAGCTGATCTAGCAAAATTGTCACGTAACAGAGTGCTAGATGCCACCAGGGGAAAAATTTCCGAGGAGTTGCCGCCCCCAATTGACAGAACAACTCGAAGATGGGGATGCTTCTGCTTGAGGTGCATGAGAGACCCTAGTCCTCCTTGTACACCGTCAACAGGTGCACCAGCATCCGCCCACTCATCACTTAGCTAGATTCAAATTCCGAGTCAGTACCCCAGATGCCGAAAACGTTTGAAATGAGTCGTGAAAAGAACTTACGAAAACACCGCCGTCGGCTGAAACACTGGCGTAGGCATAGTAAACGTGGTTGATACAGCTGTAGTTGAGCATTCCTGGAGTATCTCCTTGGTATATCCGGTAGTTAGGAAAGTAAACCGCATTTGTGAACATGACATTGGACATGCTCGAAGCAATCCGCGTCTTGCGCGACGAGCTCATGATGAGGGATTTGAGAAACCAGGTGAATTCCAAAGAAAATGGACGAGGCAAGTGCCAAAAACGAGAGAAAAATAAATACGAACGGGAGTGTTGTTTAATAACCCGACCTGCAAGAGTCTAGATGAACTAACTGGTGTCAAAATCTTGAAGGAAATAAGAGCTCATATGTCGGTCAACAACGTTAGGTACCAAGGACTGCCGATGAGAGTCATGACTGACTGCGACAGAGAAGGATCAAGGCTATATAATACTCAACACCAGTCGCAGCCAGCTAATAGAGGGCCGGCCATCTAGGTGATGCCCGGAGAGCAGGGACTAGCATCCAAATTACGGAGGGTCCTGGATTCGGTAGAACCATGATACATGACATAATTGCGGGGAGGCATTGGAAGAAACACAAGAGTGTTGCTGGTTGTCAGAGCTGAGGAAGCTGTGGCTTCTTGGGAGACCGTGAAATTGGTCCCGTTTGTTGTTAGCCCGGCTTTTCGATGCTTTGACCACGCCAATTCGGGCCTTGTTAAGAAGGTGTAATCTATGCCTCATGAAATGACGGATGCTTTGCTTGGCAGCCCAACTTCGAATGGAGTTGGAGATCCGGGGCGAGAATACTCTTTTCCTCTTCGAGCGCAGGCCGTACAAGACCCTGAGCTGTTGGGGCCGTCCAGTAGATGTTTCCAACCATTAGATGAGCTTCCATCTCTGCTATGAAAATGGAGATGATGAAGCATTGACGTTGCGGCCTCTCCGAGCCATTAAATGGCCCTGCCATGATTTGCGAAGGTGAAACACGTTGACATGCAGGCCCGCAAATGAGACACGTCTCCAATACCTAAAAACAGCATAGCGAGGCGTTGTCAGGTTTTCAAGATGAGCCGCGATGCGATCCGAGGTGTCATATGTATGCCTCGGGCAAACAAAAGGCAATGCTGAACAGGGCCCGGCTTCCAATCAATAGTTGCAGGATCAAGGCGAGCTCATCGCTCTGTTTGAAAAGCAGCATTGTTGTCCAAGGGATGAAACTGTCTCAGCCAGGAAGCACGCACGCAGCAGCATTGTTCTTGATGTCGCAACGTCCATTTTGGCGACCGGGACAATCCAGGCACAACGTCTTTGGACGAGGGTTGTACAAGAAGCGCCGAGTCATAACACAACTTCCCGATAAACGTGTTCAACAACCGTGCGGCTCCATTAATTCGCCCTGCCATCAAACTTCTGGAAGGTCGACGGACGTTTGGAACGCGCTACCACAGATGGTGAGATTGGTTCCATAATAAAAACCGCCCGGGGACGACGATGAGGTTTGGGCGCAATATTGAGTGGGCCAAACACTCTGACTTCCACTGTTAGCTTGCCCTTGTCATACAGTTGAGCCAGGGCCGGGTGCTTTTACCGTCTCTGACAAGTGATTTTGGCCTTGCCAATGCATCAATCCCCAGCTTCGAGGCTGAGGCAAGCACAACAACCTGAATCTGTCATTGCATGGATATATGTGCATAGGTAGGGACTAATGTACCTAAGTGCTAGCGAGCACTTACGTATAACGGTGGTAGTCTGGGGCACCAGAGTCCTTCTGGGAAGGGTATGAATGTTAGCGCCGTTTCTACGGATTAGAAGCCGTGCTCTAAAATGGAATTCGACGATGGTCCCACTGACTTTAATGATTTATACATTGGCATAGACCTTGAGACTTCAGGTGCCCATAGGCTACTGAATTCCCCGAGAAAAGTACCAGAAGGCATCCCATTGACATGGCTGGTCGTCTGAATGTTCTTCGACTGGACTTTATCAGGGCATATCTGTATTACCTGAATAGATTAGCTTCCGCTTCGATAAGATGGCATAAGATCTGTTAGATTGACCTACCAATAAGTCATGGTATTGATTGCTGCTACTAAATACGGCGTTGAGTGGGCATAAACTCTGTCCCAATATGGTATCGGGCTATGCAAGTCTGATTGCTTGGCACCTGAGATAGAGCCAAGAAACACACATGTATGGGTGTATCCTCATTGAAATGCATTTGCGTATCTGTTGTGCCTTCTGACTACGTTAGTATTGTACGATACCCGAAAGGTAATCCCCGGTGGTTAGTGTGGAAACATCCATGGCTGACGCAGATGCCACTTATTAGTGAAGAGCGAAAAAGCAAGTGTTGGTTCAACATGTGAGACCAACAAGTGATCGGCAATGTGGTGGAGAACTGGGGCGGGCAAGACTGCTTCGTACATACATGTGTAAGGCAACCTTGCCCAACAGTAAGCGACGAGAGAGACAGTCTGTACTCCATACACCCATGTCGAATCCTACCTGATCAACCAATGTTGGCTTGAGGTCTTTCAAACGACGGTGTTGGGCATTGTTTGCATCTTCAACGAAGCTTAGATATCATGGCCACAATCAACTTCGTTTTTTACTCACCATCAATGGAATGTAATATGACCAACTGACTTGAATTTTGTCTCAGTTTTAGGTTCATTGAGGGGCCTCTTCGCCTTACTTCGGCACAGCGCCCGATGGGAAGCAAACAAACGCAGTTGGTCCCCCCTTCTTCGCAATCCGGACCAACAGTCGAATCGCATATTGTTGTTATGCGCCATCCGCATAGCTTATCACCAACAACTCGCACAAGCATGTAGGCTGTAGCGAAACATACCACACGAGGCGTATCTCACCAATGTTGAGAGGTGAAGTCCTGCGAGAAGGAGGGGTCACCATCACGGTAGCAAACGTGCAGATGACCTCCCGCATATATTGATAATACTGAAGCCAGAAATTATCATCCCTTGTGTACTTGGCTGGTTTCACAGAGATGATCAATGTGGCGCAACCGTAGTAGAGCATCGCAACAGATGATAAACAGTGCCGAGTCCCTATTCTGTATAGCTGTGTTGTCTTCCGTTCAATTTCTTTCCGCCAGTTCACAGCCAAGATGCCAGAGACTGATAGTCACTCTTTCTCGATCATTTCCGAGCCAGGGATTGAAACAATATACACCCCAACGGACCAAGACACGGATGAATTTGAGCTTGTGTTTGACGATGCTCGTTCTGAATGCTTGCAACAGGACAATGAGTCAAGCTGTTGCACTTCATTAGCAGCCAGCATATTCGACTATGAGCACTCTCACGGCCGACGTTATCACGCCTATTTGGCTGGCAGATATCCGCTACCCAATGACGAAGGCGAGCAGTGTCGCGAGCTAGCTGAACATTTCCTGATGCAGCAGCTTCTGGTATGTCAAGGTTCTTGGGCAACAGCGATTAGAGTCAAAGCAACAGCTAACCATCCGGTTGATGCAGGATGGTAAATTCTTTCTGTCTGAACTTGACAACGAAGCGGAAAAGATAATCGATCTCGGGACAGGAAATGGTGAGTGACAAGTACATGTTTGGCTGTTTTGTACTTACAATTTGCAGGGGCATGGGTGATAGACGGTAAGCTTATATGGAAATATTCCAGCTGCCTTTCTAACAAGACCCAGTGGCCGATGAGTATCACAAGGCTAGTGTGATAGGAACCGATCTATCACCCATTCAGCCTAAATCAATGCCTCCGAATGCATCCATGTTTGTTGAAGACTGCGAGGACCCCAACTGGGCCAATGGTAAGGACTTTGATATGGTACATCTCAGGGGAATGGTCGGATTTCTTCTCGACCTGGACACTATGGTTGCTAATGCCCACGAGTGAGTCGAATGCCTCATATGTGATGTCCAGCTAATAAAGAGAAGACATCTGAAGGAGGGCGGATGGATCGAGTTTCAAGATTTTGACTACACAGTTCGCTGCGATGATGGCACTATGCAGACAGAGGATCCGTTGCGAGTTTTCTTCGACACATGCGCTCAGGGGATACGAAAATACGGCTGTACCAACTTTGGTAAGAAAGACGTTCGGAAAAGTCTCATAGCCGCTGGCTTCACTGAAGTTCAGGCGGTCAGTGAGAAAGTGCCTATCTCATGCTGGTCACAGGACGAAGGAGTGAGAGACTTGGGGAAGTTGATGGAAGCCAACATCATGGATCTGATTGATTCGATGGCTATCAAGCCGTTGAAAGCCCTGGGGATACCAGAAGAGAAGCGAAAAGAGATGGTGTCTCAGGCTTATAAGAGCCTAATGAACGAGAAAGCTCACCGATACATGAACTGTCGTATCGTTTATGGCCAGAAGTATAGGGAACAAGGCTCTGTGGCGAGTCTTGGTTCTGATTCGTGATTTCTCTCGAATTTTATGGTTACTGAGGCAGAAAGACCTTCATGGTCAGCATTTGAGGATGGAAGACAAGATGGAGGTTCAGTAGGTGCCTGGTTCCTGCTGTGTCTTGCCAAAACACCTGTGATGGCGATGACAAGAATTTACCACGGAAGTAAGCACTTCCCATCCTTCGCTAAGAGATCTTAAACAGTTTAAATAATATAAGAATGTCATGATAAACAAATAATATCTTAAAATGGGCGTATGAGGATAGCGAAGCTCAAGTCCACAAGTTCAAGGGACTGGAAGCTTGTGTGGAGTGACGTTGGCATGGCGGCGATCCTAGTCGCTGACAAACCTCGATCGCCGCACTGTACCTGCAGCTCTGGAAAATGTTAGCGACCAAAGCTTTGGCCTAAATCTTGACCTTGACATCAACAGAGCAACTAGTTATTACAGCGCGCACAAAGCAGCATCCACAACCACCCGAGGCGGAATCCTGAAAGAACATTACTAGCAATAAATCAACTACTCCATCCTCTGTAGGCGATCAGCCTGCGCCATTCTCGCACACCATGCCCGGCGCCGTCGAATCTCCTGCCGCCGCCATTCTCAACCACTCTGCCACGCCCTACAACTTCCGCTTCTCGCCATTTCTTCGACAAACGTATCAGGTCGGCCTGTCTCCCGACCGGCCTATATGCAAAGCTTTCCAGTCGGGCCACTGCCCCAACGGCACACGATGTCCTGAACGACACGTCTCTGATTCTAAGACGTCACAGCCGAGTGGTGGTCTCAACTCGCTC